GACGTGTCCATTCCCGAGGTGGTCCGGTCCAGGTAGCGATGGTTTATTTATTCATGAATTACACGTTACACTCGCATATCATAACACTTCTGTCAGCCCATAGGCTGAATTGGGGTGATGACACTGACAAAACAAAGTACATGTATAGAGCTCAGAATTAAAGATACTAGAATAACAATTTAGAATAAAGGTAACAGGTCATGACATTATATCACGATGAGTGAGTGAGTGAATAGTTGAGTGAGTGTCTGAGTGAGTGAGTGTGTGAGTGAGTGAGTGTGTGTGTGTGAGTGAGTGAGTGTGTGTGAGTGAGTGAGTGAGTGTGTGTGTTTGTGCGTGTGTGTGTGTGTGTGAGTGAGTGTGTTTGTGTGTGAGTGAGTGAGTATGTGAGTGAGTGAGAGTGTGAGTGAGTGTGTGTGTGACAGTGAGTGGTTGAGTGAGTGAGTGGTTGAATGTGTGTGTGTGAGTGCGTGAGAGTGAGTGAGTGAGAGTGAGTGATGAGTGAGTGAGTGGGTGAGTGAGTGAGTGAGTGGGTGAGTGAGTGGGTGAGTGAGTGAGGAGTGTGTGAGTGAGTGTGTGAGCGAGTGAGTGAGTGTGAGATAGAGTGAGTGAGTGAGTGAGTGAGTGAGCGAGTGAGTGAGTGAGAGTGAGTGTGTGAGTGAGTGAGTGTGTGAGTGAGTGAGTGTGTGTGTGTGTGAGTGAATGAGTGTGTGAGTGAGTGTAAGTGAGTGAGTGTGAGTAAGTGAGGAGAGTGTGAGTGTGTGAGTGAGTGTGAGTGTGAGATAGAGTGAGTGAGTGAGTGAGTGATGTAAAAAATCTCACCTCTAAAATCTCCCATTACAACTGAAGGTACGCGGCCAGTTACGGTCCCAGGGCGGCGGCTTCGCGGGGGGTCCTGACTGACGCCGACTCCGTCTCCAAGTCCGCCAACGTGCAGGCTGACGTCATCAAGGCCACGCGAGAGGCTCCCCCGGGGTTTGCCACGACTCTGGAGGACGTCGCGACGTCCCTGGAGATCCCCCAGGCCATCCCTCTCAGGTGTGTTTGTTTGTTTGTTTGCTCGTTTGTTTTTTGATTGTTTGGAATCTACATTAGTGATACAAACTGCATACCAGTCTTCCTACAGTCCTTACAATAGAATACAGCAATACAATACAGCAATACAATACAGCAATACAATACAGCAATACAATACAAGGCAAATGACAGAATCTTACAGCACCTTACGTAATTCGGTACAATTAGAATAAATCGGGCTATCAGTACCTGTATCTGTATAGCCGGTATAACCGTTCTGCGGCGTAACACACCAGCTTCTGTATCTGTATAGCCGGTATAACCGTTCTGCAGCGTAACACACCAGCTACGCAGGCACGCGGTGTGGCGGCAGCTGGCCACATTACACCGAACGACTTGTTACACCTAACCCTTGAACATTTTACTCTGAACGTTGTTTAAAGCTATCTAATGATTACTGTTAACAGGATCGGACTTGAGGGAGACCTGGGGATCGTGAAGACGATTTTTCATGCTTTTGTCCACTTTATGTGGCGATGTAAAATAAGTGTAACGTGTTCTTTTTTTGTCTCCTGATAACAGGATCGGGTTGGATTGAGACCCCGGGATCGGGAAGACATTTTTTTATGCTTTTGTCATCTGAATGCACTGATGAAACGGTTAGACTGTCTACGAGGCATTACTTGAGTGTAATGGCACATTATTTTTCTACTGCCAACAGGATCGGATTGGAGGGAGACCCGGGTATCGGGAAGACGCTGTTTTGCCAGCGGATCGCGCTGCGCTGGACCCTCGGGCTGCTGGACAACTACGCGCTGGTCCTGCTGGTGGACGTGCCCAGCGTCAGGTCAGTGAGACTATTAATGTTTACCGAAGGAAAACATATTGTTTTTATCTGTATCCTCTTCTTCTTCTTCTGCAAACTAATAAGGTCAATGACCTGCACCAGTGTTGGGTTACATCATGTTGCAATTTTATAGCAGGAGGGATTTAAATCTAGATGAGCGCAAGGTCGGTGACATTATTATGTTAATCGAAGGAAAACATTGCTCTTGCTCTGTTTTCTCTTCTTCTTCAAACCAATAAGGTCAATGACCTGAACCAGACGTCTGTCACCATGGTAACTGGTGTTGGGTTACATCACTGTGTTGCAACTTTCTAGCAGGTGGGACTCAGGCTACACATGGTACGATGTATGGCAAAGTACATAAAAGTATAGAATAAGACCTAATATATTTATTTATTTAAGACCTAATATATCATTCATTCATTCCTTTATTTATTCATTCATTCATTTAAAGGTCGTCCCTGCGCGACTACCTGTACGGGGAGCACTTCGGCCTGGACTCCTCCATCACGCCTGATGTGTTCTGGGACTACGTCGCGAACCACCAGGAGAACGTCCTGTTATTGGTGGACGGGCTGGAGACACTCACACAGAAACAGCTTCACAACCTCGGCTTCTACGACATCTTCGTGGGAGGTGCTTTGGAGAGGTGCGATTGTGTGTTTGTTTGTTTGTTTGTTTACTTGTTTATGAGAGAGCGTGCTGTTATTGGTGGACGGTTTGGAGACACTCAGCCAGAAACAACTTCACAACCTCGGCTTCTACGACATCTTCGTGGGCGGCGCTTTGGAGAGGTTTGTCTGCTTGCTTGTTTGTTTGTTTGTTTGTTTTGTTTGTGGCGAACCACCAGGAGCGCGTGCTGTTACTAGTGGACGGTTTGGAGATACTCACACAGAAACAACTTCACAACCTCGGCTTCTTCGACATTTTCGTGGGCGGTGCTTTGGAGAGGTTTGTTTGTTGTTTGTTTGTTTATTAATGAGAGAGCGTGCTTTTACTGGTGGACGGGCTGGAGACACTCACACAGAAACAGCTCCACAATCTCGTCTTCTACGACATCTTTGTGGGCGGCGCTTTGGAGAGGTGCGTTTGTTTGTTTGAACTTTCGACCAGTCACTCTGGTCTTCCTCAGTAGACTGACCCAGTGAGGCTTGTGACGTGGCTTCTTTAAAGTGTGACGTCAACACATATGGTACACACTCCTTTCTCTGCTTAGCACTCAGCATCTACACATGTATGAGAAATAATGTGGGAAGGTCAAACACACAACACTACCTGCTGTAGTGCTTGCACAACTGTACAGAAATGGAGAATATGCTCTGCACAGAGTGTTTTATATATTATATGTATGTATATGTTTTGTTTCCGTCCAGGTCTCATGTGATCATCACTGCCAGAAGCGGGCTGCGCACCACGACCCTGATGAAGGTGTGCGACTTCGTGTACATCCTGCAGGGTCCCACCACCGTGGCCAAGCTAGACTACGTGCGCTCTTACTTCGTGGAGAAGGTACTGGATTTTGGTTTTTGTTTAAATCTATTATCATAATGATCATTCTCGGTAAGTATTATGAGGCGTCCCTGGCGGTGCGACTTCGTGTACATCCTGCAGGGACCCACCACCGTGGCCAAGCTAGACTACGTGCGGTCTTACTTCGTCGAGAAGGTACTGGATTTTAGATTATTTATTCTTGATGTGATAAGTTTTTATGATGAATCTGAGGCGTCCCTGGCGGTGCGACTTCGTGTACATCCTGCAGGGACCCACCACCGTGGCCAAGCCCGACTACGTGCGCTCTTACTTCGTGGAGAA